AACATTTCCATCTCCTTTAAGCATTTAGTATTCGTTCATTTATTCACTGATATAGGAAAGCTCATTGCCAGCCATAGGCAATGCATACAAACTCAGAATTTAGAAAGTTACAATGAAAATTTCAAAAATCTTATTTCTGGACTGAGCAAACCCTTACCACATTTGAGGAAAGTTCACTTTGTCCCTTCCCAGTTCCCTGCAACTCTACCTGGATAAAGCTAGGCCAAGAGAAGGGATCTTCTACTGAGGGAAAGAGAGGGAGGAGAGTGAGTCCACAGTCCAGCCTGGCCTCTTTATCCCGGAGCCGGGAGGCCAAGGAGAGAAGCAGGGGGGGAAGGGAGAATGCCTACGAGGCCACAAGGCCCTAGAACTCCAGCTCTCCAGAGCCTTCCTAGACTACCAATCACATAGGAAATCCAGGATATCTTTTTAAAAAGAAACAATCTTTTTGTACATAGGGGGAAATTGTGTGATTTATGTAAATTTGTGTAGCTTTAGAAAATTCCACAATTAGTCATTCAGTGACTTGACCTAGAACCCTTGGTTTTCAGGACACCTACCCTGCCCAGAGAAGACAAGGCTAACATTTACGAGTGAGCTAGAGGCCCACCCATGAGTCCAGAAAAAATTCCCCTTCAAGTTCCCCTATCTACCCAGAGCAGATTCCTTAGTCAGAGAAAACCAGTGGTCAGGGAGCTGGAGACCAGTAATGCCTCCAGCTATGCCTGCAACCCTGCCTGTCCTGTTCTCGGCTGTATCACTGCGCTGGAGCACAGTGTCTTGCAGAGTAGGAACTCAAACTCTGATTGAATAAATGAATGCATATATCCTGAAATAAAAAGGCAAAGACCAGAACAGCAAAAGCTTAGAACAAAGGAGAAGGGCAACACAAAAGAGAAACAGGAAGCTACAGCAAAGCGGCAAAGAAAAAGCTACTGCAGCAGAAAACAGTGACAAAGGGGGTAGAATGAGAAGAATTGAGCAGAAAAGAGAAGAAAAACTGTACTGTGGGTACAAGTAGCTTAAGGGAGTTAGGTATAACAACTAATAGTTATACCTAACTAATATATATTATAGCTACATATAATACAAATTGTGCCTAACTCCCTTATTATACTAGTAATAATACAAATTACATCAACATATGAATTCTAAAAATCCTCTTCTGAAACACAAAAGAACTGTTAACTAAAATTAGACAAAGACATTGCAAGAAAGGAAATTACACACCAATATCACTCATGAAAAGAGAAACAAAATCCTTGACAAAATATTAGCAACTTAAATCCAACAACAAATCAAAAGGATAATACACCATAACCAAGTAGGTTCATCCCAGAAACGCAAAGATGGTTCAACATTTGAAAACCAGTCAATGTAGTTCACCATATTAATAAATTTAAAAAGAAATCCATTTGGTCATCTCAATAGATGCAGAAAAAGCATTAGATAAAATTCAACATTCACTCAGGATTAGAATTCTTATCGAACCATGAATAGAAGGGGACTTCCTCAATCTGATAAAAGGCATGTACAAAAAAATCTGATTATCATACTTAATGGTGAAAGACTGAATGCTTTCCCCCTGGGGTTGAGAACAAGGCAAAGATGTCTACTTTCACTGCTCCTATTAAACATGGTACTGGAGTCCTCAGTCAGTGCAATAAGGCAAGAAAAAGAATACAAGGCATACAGATTGGAAACAATTATGCTAGGTAATATATAATCCAGATAAAAAAAGAGTATATATTTTATGAGTCCATTTATATAAAATTCTAGAGAATGCAAATTAATCTATATTGACAGAAATATCAGTGGTTGCTCAAGCAGTGGTTGGGGGGAAGGGATTACAAAGAAGCAAGTGAAAACTTTGGAGATTATGGATATATTTATTATCCTGATTACAGTGGTGTTTTCACAGGTATATACACCACATACCTGTATAAACTGCACACTTTAATATATGTCTTTTACTGTCCATCAACAATACCTCAATATAGCTGAAAAAAGAGGGACTTAAAAGACATATCAAACTAATAAAAACAAGTTAAAGTATGAAATACATAAGAGTTGTGCTTACTTTTGAAGAGAAGGTAGATCTCTATGCACATTATGAAAAGAGAGCCAGAGGGGCCGGCCCAGAGGTGTAGTGGTTAAGTTGGCGCACTCCGCTTCGGCAGCCTGGAGTTTGCAGGTTCGGATCCTGGGTGTGGACCTAGCACTGCTCATCAAGCCACGCTGTGGCAGCATCCCACATAAAATACAGGAAGATTGGCACAGATTTTAGCTCAGGAACAATCTTCCTCAAGCAAAGAGAAGAAGATTGGCAACAGCTGTTAGCTCTGGGCCAATCTTCCTCAAAAAGAAAAGAAAAGAAAAGAGCCAGAAAGTGTTAATAGAAAAGTATGATGTCGTTAGGCCTGCCAGATTTAGCAAACAAAAATTTAAGCCTCCAAGTTAAATTTGAATTTCAGATAAACAACAAATAATTGTTTAGCATAAATATATCTGAAATATTGCATGCAACATATCATAGTAAAAAAATTTGCTGTTTATCTGAAACCTGGACCAAACTTATACTAAACAATTGTTCACTGTTTATCTGAAATTCAAATTTAACTGGTCTTGTATTTTATCTGGCAATCCTAGATGCCATCATATCTACATTGTATGAAATCAAGCCTCTGAAAAGGACAGCCGCTTGAAGCCTCTGTTTATTTTGACTTAGATGAAGCTGCTGAACTGCTGTACTCTAGACAAAGGCTGCCTGCTCAGTGTCCAGCACAGTGCCTTATTCACAGTGGGTGCTCAGAACATATTTTCTGCTCTGCAAGCTGTGTGGAGATAAGGACTGCATCTGTCCTGCTCACCATTTTATCCCGAGGGCCTATTACTGTTCCTGGTGCTCAATGAATATATGATTAAATGAATAGCTGCATCTTCTGCCCCAGAAAATTGCAGGGTTGACCTTTTAATACCAGCCCTTGTAGCTGGCTGATCAACTTCTTGGACAAGCCCCAGTTCTGATTTCTTGGCTTGTCTCCCTCTTCACTTTTGCTGTGTGTGTCTCAGGTTGCTGTTTTATTTTGTATTGTTTTGTGCGTGACTGACCTATCCTTACCTACATTGCCTCTTGTTTTCTTGTTTTTCCCTTTGGAATCTGGGTGATTGCACTGAGACTCTGAGACCTTCAGCCCTTGGGCAAACCTGAGAGTCTGAAACACAGCAGCTAGGATTGCTTAATGAATTATTGCAGCATGTTCCCTTTAGAGCTAAGGAGATTTTGGATGGGGCTTCAGGTTTGGGGAGACCAGTATAAAAGGAAATCTTTATATATTGGTGGTGGGAGGATTTTAAACATTTGGGATTTTTATTATCCTATAAATATCTGAAGTACAAAATGCATTCAAACTCTAAATGCATTAATTTTCTTCCACAAAATTAAGAACTTAACCTAAGATTCCTCCTTGTAGTTTACTCCCACAAATAAGCAGAGACTGTAGAAGTTATTTCTAGTGAGAGAAGGATAGTGTGGAGAAAAATGTCTTGTACTTAGGAGATTTTAGAACTGTAAGGAATCTTAGGATTCTTTATTTAGTTACATAATTTAGTATAACTACCTGCTTGTTTTGAAGAGGAGTATGAGGCCCAGACACTCTCCCAAGTTCACCCATTGAAGGTCTGAAGTGAGAGAAAGGTAACACTCAATAAAACCTAGGTCTCCCATGTACTACCAGCTCTATAACCCACTTTCCCTAGTTCTTAGCAGTTGGGAAAGCGCTGATGGCTGTAGGGTGGAACAGTAATAAAATGAAGCACATTGTGCTAAGAGCATACATGCTACTCTTCTTGGCATGCTGAATACTGTTCTTGGGTCTTTCTGAGCCCTTCCTCCACCATTAAAGTCTGTTGTACCCCTTCATCGGTGTGTTCTCGGATGATTCACTCTTCTTATATGGTTATATTTTTGTCTTGGGGAAAAACTAAATTAAGTACAGGCTACTGTGGTTTTGAGATACTTTAGGTCACCGATTCGTTTCTATGCAAAAAGACATTTTAAGAAGTAGAGAGGAGGAAGGTGGCAGAGATTTCTAAAGGGACAGAATACCTGCCCTTGATTTTTTCCTTAGACGTAAATGTCTTAGATAATTTAAACTGTTATGACGATGACATAACCTAAATGCTTCCACACAAACGCAGTTACTTTAAAGGAGGAGAAGGAGGTAAGAAGAGAGGGAATATCACATTTTGTACATAGGGGAAAAAAAGGTTATTACGTAGGAATTCATGAAATATTAAAAAGTTTTCCTATAGGGATGATTGGAAAGAAAATGAATCCTCCTATCAATTCCAAATGCAAATGAATTAGAGAAAAATGCAGTCAAATAAGCAGAGGTACGTACTTACCCCTCTCCCAAGGGAAGATGAGGTCTTATTAAGGTAGCTAGTACTATGCAAAATGTTTTGAGTGCCAGTTGAGAAGTGGTACAGATACGGGAAACGTAAGCATTCACTTTCATTGGTAAGGTAAGGTGACGCAAGAATTGTGACTGCAGCCTCTGCTTGGCGTCCAGTCGTGGCGACTCCGCATGCTGCAGGTGGAGGAGCTGGCTAGGGAGAGGAGAGCTGGGACGCGGTTCTGCAGTCTACACTCGCAGGGGTCTGTCCTGCCTCCGAGGCTGCATTGCAGTGGGGTGTGAAAAGTTCGTGTGTACCAAAGCTTAGGGGGCCCTTCTGTAGCAGGAGGGACTCGAAGGACACGGAGGAACATGATCTCATCTAAGGCATGTGATTCTGAGGTGCTCAGGGTCCTGCACCCCCCAACTTGGGCTGAAAAGCGAACTGCCAAAACAGCAGCCCTTGCAGGCGCCCAGAGCTGCGGGTGCAGTGTTTCCTCCCGTCCGGCAAGGGCCGCTAGGAGCGAGTCCCCGCGTGGGGCGACTCTCGTCGGCCGCTCGTCTCTGTAGCCCGCCCGCAGCCGCGGGTGGGAGGGAGAGAAGGCCGCCAGCACGCGTGCGCGCTCCGTCGGTGCGGCGAGCCTGCGTGCGTGAGTGGGAGGTGGCAGGCCTCAGCCTCTGGCCTTCACGGCTGTCGGTCCCGGCGCGACGTCTCGAGTCATGAACCGGTTTGGTACCCGGTTAGTGGGAGCCACGGCTACCCCGTCGGCGCCACCGAAAGCCCGCAGCAATGAAAACCTCGACAAAATTGATATGTCTTTGGGTGAGGAGCCGAGTTGGACCGAGTTGGAGTGGGGGGAGGGCTGGGTGGAACCAAGTCCCGCGGTTTGTGGGGGAAGGGGCAGTTGGCCGCCGTTGTCGATCGAGTTTTCTCACGGGTGGGCGGAACCAGGGGAGGGCCCTGGGCGCGGAGGCTGGACAGGCTGGTGCGGGGGTCGAGCCGGAGGGACCCGGGCGTCCCCGCGGCTGGGCTGTCTGAGGAGGGGCTGTGGGGGCGGGGGGCGCCCGGGCCCGGAGGGTTGGAGGGGCCAGGGGTGCGGACCGTTTCCCCCCCAAGAGGCGCTACCACTCGCGGGTGAGCCGGCTCTTTGTGAGGATCGCTCGGCGGGGCTGCCTGGAGCGTGTTGGCGGTGGGCGTTCTCGGGGAGAGGGGAAGGTCGCCTAAGCTCTCCCTCCGGAGGAGGCTCCTGGAGAGCCCCGGCGGGGCTGCGCGCCTTGGAAATCCGTGCTGCCCGAGAGGGGCTGGTTGGCCGTTTCTGCGCCCGGCCTCTGCCTGGCGCTGTGGGAGAAGCGGAGGGACGCCCCCGAGAGTTGTCGCTGTGACAGGCGCCAGCCCGCGGGGCGCCGACCCGGGAGCGTGTGGCAGACGGAACACAGCGCCAGGCAGGGACTTCATCAGATGGTGCTGTGTTAGGCGGCGCTAGGGAAGCGCGTTCTCCTTAGCCAGGCCTCCCGGTTCGTTGATTAGAAAATTATGAAGCAGAAACCGGGGGCGGGGGGGGGGGGAGGGGGACAATTACGAGGGTTGACGGGAGCCGGGTACGGCGCGGAGTCTAGCACGTAGAAGGGGGGAGTGGTTTGGTGAGGATCGTGTGAAAATCGGGAGGACTGGTGATTCAATTAAAAATTCCCACCGAACTCTACTGAGGCACTAGTCTCTCTGTTCGGCTCAGCTGGTTAAAAAGTAATCCCGTTTTTACCGGGATTCAAGTCATGGTGTTAGATGTGGTCAGCTGCCTGCTGTTTCTGTGGCCCACAGTTTTCTGGATATTTGAGAAGTACCTGACTCATGGGTGCCGCTGTGTAACTTTTCCGAGGATGGTAGCTTTCTCTTGTTGTGGTTTATCTGCAAAGGTTTAGTCAAAAGTCAAGAACTCTTGGTTTCTCTGATTGCCACGAGTCAGATCCCAGTATATGAATTAACTAAATCATCAGAAATAATAGGTTTGGCCTCGTCTTGTCTTACTGCTAGTCAATAATGAACGCTATAGAAATGAGAAATCTTTTGAGTTAATAAGGCCAAGAAAAAGTATAATAACGGATATTTATTGATGCTTACTACCTGCCATGCACTGGACTAAGCATTTTATCTGTAACTCGGTTTATCCTCATAATAACCGTTCTATGAGGTATGAGCTCCTGTTGAGAAAGAGCCTAGAATCCAGAACCACGCTGTCCCCGTTCAAATCCTGCCTCTGCCACTTATTAGCCATGTGGTCATGGGCAGATGACTTCTCAGTGCCTCATCTGTAAAAAGGTGCATAACTGTGCTTGTCTGCCTCAGAGGGTGGTTGTATTAAATGAGCCAGTAGGCATATATAAACCGTTTAGAACAGTACCTGGTACACAGTAAGCATTGTATGACATATACACACACTAAGCTATTATTGTTATTCCCATTTTACAAAACCTGAGGTGTAGAGAAATTAAATAGCTTCCCTAAATTCAAACAACAAGTAAGTGGTGGAGCCAGGATTTCAGTCTGGCTCTAGGGCCCCAAGCTTTAGCTGTTGTAGGAAGTGTTAAACGTGTGTTTTCATAACCAATACGTTTCTTAAGTTTCTAGGTTTTTTGTATGTATTTTGTTTGGTCATTAGGATGTACAAGTGAAGAAAACTTCTCTAAATAGGTAGAAATGCAGAGCTGTGGATGGCTAAAGTAGAGCTTGGCCCTTTTTCTCCTCTCCAAGAACATACAGCATTCTGTCAGGTGCCTTTTTTTTTTTTTGATGAGAATTTTACAGAGATGGGATGAAGAAATGATATCTATTTCACAGTTATTATGCTTTGTGAATATATTGTGAATATTATGCTTTGTGATCGTACCTGGAGAGGTTTTAGAATCTAATTCTGGTTACCGATAAACTGGCCTTATTGTGGCTCAGTTTCTTAATTTGAAAATGGGTAGTATAATAATTTCATAGAATTGTGAGAATTAAATGAATACATGTCAGAAGAATGCCTGTTAGTACTCAGTTACTAGTATTATTATTACCGTGTATATACCCTTAGTGTTATAAAAGAAACTTATAAAAGTAGTTCATCGTAATGGTTTGGTATTTTTTTTCCTTCTGTTACCTACCCTATCTACTCCTTGAGTAGGAGAAAGCCATTTTCTTCTTTTGAATTAGAAGAATCCTCTCTGCCACATTTAACTTGAGGATTTAGACAATAAAATGTTTAAATATAAAACAAAATGTTATGTTTGATATGCATTGCTACTTTTAATGTTTAGTTATGTTATATTCCATAATGCTCTTCTTTAAAATTAACCTGGTTAGTCAAAAGTATACTCTGTTTTTTTTTTTAATGGTCCCCAGACCAAATTCATTTCTTTGGTTTGCTCTCATGGCTCTGAGATTTCAGACTTCTGGTGAAGAAGAAGTAGCATCTTGTAAAAAGAAAGTAGTATTTCCAAAGTAGTGTCTTTCTGACTGTAGTTTTCCCTTTCTGCTCACTGAGAATTTAAGTTCATGTATCTGATGTTCATGAAACCTTTTTTTTTTTTTTAAACTGTTTTTGAGTGTCTTTAACTTTGATGAACTCTTGTAGTTGAAGGATTGATCTCAAGGAGATAAGGAAGTACTTTGGGGGACATTTGAATGATTTTATTCAAGTATTTGTTTGAATGTGATTGAGAGTCTTAAAGATAGCAGGTAGATGAGATAGAGTAGTAATATGTAAGAAAGGATCCCTATTATCTATATTTCCTTCTTTGACTTCAGAAAAGACTAATTATATTAATATAATTGTTAGATTATGTGTTTAGAGCACTTTGGAAAACATAACTGAGGTTAATTAGTTTTGTTAAATTTTATTAAGTTGTTGTTGACCATGTTCAATTTCTTTAGTTTATTTTCTTTATCAATCATTAAAATTAATGTTGGAGTTGAGACTGTGGAAAAATGGATATTTCTAAAATGAGTATTTTTGGCTTCTAGTAACTTCCTTTTAACAGATGCAAATAGGAATTTGGAGTACATTTACTTTCGTAATCTTTACGTTTTTCTGTTGTGGAATTTGAACAATGTGGTGTTTGTGAATTACTTTGGGGAGTTTGAAAGTGTTTTTGGAAATAATGAGGCTTAGATCAGCAGAGAAAGGAAAGGAAACTCTGAATTACTTTGCTAGTGGAGTAGAGAACTAATAGTATTTTCTTCTTGTACTTTATCTTTTTTATGGTACTTGTTTAATTTTGTATTTACCATTTACATGTCTGTTTCCATCAGTAATTTTAAACTTATTGAGAGCAGGGACGATATTTTACTTTCCTTTGTTTCTTACAGCACAGCTTGCCATCTGTATTCATTGCACATAGTATATACTCCATAAATATTTGCTGTATTGAGCTGAACTTAGAAATTTAATGTTTTAATTGAATGATTTATTTTTTGGCCACCTATGGTTTTATTGAAAGGTGGTCATCTTTAAAAACTGGAGACTTCTGTGATTATGAAAAATAAGTATGAATAATTTTTGTAATCAGACTTTCGCTTATTTACATTTATCGGGGAAAGAAATACTATGGATAACAAATCTTCATTAATTGGTAGATCTGCTCTGGGCTATTGATTTGAACTTTTCCTACAAAACCTTTTTTCAGTGCTCCTAGTATATTGGCTGATTAGAGCTTTTATCTTCTTATCATTATTATCCTCTTATGGAAGTGCTTTCAAAGTAGAAAAGAAGTTAGGAACATAGGAAATCTATCAACTAGAAAAGGAGACAGATGGGGCCGGCCCTGTAGCCGAGTGGTTAAGTTCAGGAGCTCTGTTTTGGCAGCTCGGGGTTTCGCCGGTTGGAATCCTGGGCGCAGACATGGCACCACTCATCAGGCCATGCTGAGGCAGCGTCCCACATGCCACAACTAGAAGGACACACAACTAAAATATACAACTTTGTAGTGGGGGGATTTGGGGAGAAAAAGGAGAAAACAAAAAACAAAAAAAGAGAAGATTGGCAACAGTTGTTAGCTCAGGTGCCAATCTTTAAAAAAAAAGAGAGACAGAGTAATTGTGTCATTAAGTTAAAATAATCATCACATTTCTTCTATCACAGATGATATCATCAAATTGAATCGAAAGGAAGGAAAGAAGCAGAATTTTCCGAGACTAAATAGAAGACTCCAGCAAAGTGGTGCCCGGCAATTCAGGATGAGAGTACGATGGGGAATCCAACAGAATTCTGGTAAGTTTTGCAAATAAGCTTTAATAAAGAGCTGTTCTTTGTGGGTTCATAGTATGCTATCTTTAGTACATACTTTGAACATGGAGGAAATATATCAGTATCCTTTGTGATTTGTATTTTTCTCTTCTTTGGTTTTCCTTTAATCTTAAAATCTGGTAAACATTTAAATTGCCTTAAATAGATGGTAACACTGTTTCTTAAAAACATTAAGTCATTTTAAAGTAACCTTAGTATATAGTTTAAATTATATCGAGGGCTATAGAATTGTAAAGGATCTTAACGTTGTTATCATGAGGTCTTATCTCCTTCACAGTTAGATGTTCCTTTAACAGTCTGTCTGATGGATGACTGTATAACTCCAGCTTAAATATATTCAGTGAAAGAGCATACCACCTCAAAAGACAACTTACTCCATTATTGGAGACAGCTCTGTTTACTAGAAAATTTTCTTAATTTGAATTGAATCATGTCTGCCTATTAATACTACAGAGTTATAGAAAGCAAACTCTATTTTCTATATGAGAACCTTTTAAATATGTGGAGACTACTATTCTGCATAGAAAATGACTTCCAGACTGTATCTTATCATCCAAGACCCTTAGGATTTGTTAAATCCTCCAAAGGTGACACTCAGAATTGAATGTTTTAGATGTTATCTAAGAATCTTGGAACTCTACATATATAGTTATTTTCGGTAATCTGGAAACTTGTTTATTTATAGCCATATTGTTCCAAAATGGATTTAAGGCAGTAACTGGGAGCACTGTTAATTATGTATGACTCATTAACTTTTTTAGCAGTTGTTTCACTGTTTTAGAATAAATCTCTGTTCAAATTTTAAAAACTCTACAACTTTTTTACACATATGAAAAAGTATATGATAAACCAGCTCCCAAGTTTTTATCCTATATGTTGAAAAACATAAAAGATAATCTACTCTCCAGTGGGTTGAATATATTTAGTTCTATGTTTAACAGCTAATATGCCAGCATATCCTCAAAATATGTCTGTAACTGAAATTATACCATCCAAAAAAATTTATTCTTCCCTAATAATTTCTTGAACAGCTGACCCCAAGCAAGTAAATTTTGTGACAAGTATTTAGTTATAGCGAATGAATATTTAATTCCGGTGATTATATTTAAAGATTTCTTATAAATGTTACTCAACATAACCGTATTTTATATGATTTGTTTTAAAATAAGTTCAGAGTTCATAGAAGCCAGAATTATATTCATTTATGCTAACTATATGTTAAATACCTGGTAAATGCTCTGAACTGACCAGGTTCTCTGGGTATGTAAAGGTGTGGTCTTTTACTTCAACAGAGTAACAGAGAGAAGTTAGATAACAGATAAGATAGAAAACATACAGTTGAGGGGCCACCTTGTGGCGTGGCCAAGTGGTTAAGTTTGCGCACTTTCAGTGGCCCAGGGTTTCACTGGTTCGGACCCTGGGTGCAGACCTAGCACCGATCATCAGGCCATGCTGAAGTGGTGTCCCTCGTAGCTCAACTAGAAGGACCTACAGCTAGAATATACAACTATGTACTGGGGGGCTTTGGGGAAGAGAAAAAAAAGAGGAAGATTGGCAACACACATTAGCTCAGGGCCAATCTTAAAAAAAAAAAAAAAAGAATTCCAGCATCTCCTCTAAAAAAAAAAAAGAAAACAGAGTTGAGAATTGTTATAAGAGAAATTCCAGTAGTACTATAGGACTTTCGATAGGGATTTTGTGCTAAGAAAATCAGTGGCGATTTAATTGATAAGGTGAAATAGAATCTGGTCCATAAGGGAACAGAAAAGCTTTCCTTTTATGGGGTTTGTGATCTGAGCCTTGAGATAAATGATGTCTAGGGGCAGCTTAGGATCTTGTAAGATTGAACTTGCACTTGTATGTTCTCCACTTACATGTGACAGGGCCTAAAATAGAACAGCTGCTGCTGTCACTGAATGTGCAGAGAGATATTAAACTCTGATTGGTTAGAAGTTGAGATTTCCACGTTGTAATTTCAGTGAGGATGTTCACTTGAGGTAAGAGAACAAGTAGGACAGAGAGCCCTTGGCAGACACTCAAATTATTTTTGATGGCTGAACAAATACGTGAATAAACTCTTCCTAATTCTGTGCCTGAAATATAATTTGGTCAGTCAATAAATACTCATACAGTGTCCTTCAATGGTGGAATACTGTACAGCAGTGGTTCTCAAAGTGTTGTCCAGGGACCCTGGGGAATCCTTGAGATTCAAGGGGGTCCACAAGGTCAGAAATATTTTTATAATAATACTAAGACATTAATTGTGTTTTTACTCTTGTTCTCTCATGAATGTACATTGGACTTTTCCAGAGTCTGCACAACATGTGAAAGTTAAAACAGATTGAGTGCAGAAGCAGATATGAGAATCTAGCTATCTTCCATTAAGCCAGATGCTGAAGACATTTGCAAAAATGGAAAACAATGCTGCTCTTCCTAGCCAATATTTTTGTTTTGGAAAATAGTTTTTACTTTTCGTTTAAGATGTTGTTTGTCCTACATGGAGGGGGTTTATTACTCTGGTTTTAATGAAATAATAAGTAGTTTTTAAATGTCTTAGTTTTCACGTCTAGTATGGTAAGTATCAGTAAACGTAAACCCACAGAAACAAAAACTCTTTGGGGTCTTAAATAAATTTTAAGAGGGTAAAGAGGTCCTGAGACAAAAAAGTTTGGTAGAAGAGACAGGGAAATATTTGTATATTGCTTTGGAAAGGAACCAGTTGTATGATTACATACATTCTGTGATATGACATTTCCTAGAAAACTTCTCAAATCTTCATGTAAGTGATCAGACTCCAGAAATTATTGAGGCAAGTGGATGTTGGTGTCAAAGAAATTCTTGAAGAGTTTCAAAGGAAAGATGAACATTCCTGTCTCTAATTTTAGTTGTTCTCAGCCTTGGTTGCACCTGTAGAGCTTTATAAAGTAGACTGATAGTCTGGCTGCGCTTCATTTCTACTGAATGAAAATCTGCAGAAGTAGGGCCTATGGAATTTTTTTAAAGCTCTGTATGTGGCTAAACTGCCCCTCCGATGGAGCTGAAAATGTGAAAGGATCTTCAGAGATAGTAGTTCAAGTAATGAGAATGAAGACCCTCTGGAAAGACAGAAGAGAACTTTTTGGAGGGGCTAAATGGATGAAAACTAAGAAAAGACTATTGCATGAGATGATGTCTTCAGTACTTCATAGTGCTTTCAGAGTATATGAAGGTTACAGAGGGTAAGAACGGAGAGAAATTGAAGCAATATGTAAAGGTCTTTATTTGTGAAATGTGCAATGAAAGAGTGAAAAATAGAACCATTGCTAAAACTGAGGTACAGCTAGTGAAGTTTGTTCAGACATACAAAGGGAGGGAGAGGGAAGGGATGATCCGGGTTTGCTAGAAGGTAGAGGAGAAGAAGCCACTGATAAGAGAGAAATAAAAGTTAGTGGAAAGAATCATGAGTATGAGAACAATGACAGTAACTGTCAGAAATAGAAGGCACCCAGAAATAGAATTCTATCCCATACTTTTCTCCTTTTAATTAATTGTATTCTTTCTCATGAGTCTTTCTCATTTAAGCATAAAACTTTGGTGTATTAAGAAATTCATCTATTTAATCTCTCTTTTTGCTCTACCAATTCATTCTTTTGGAGTACTTTCACATTTCTTTGTTCCTCTCTCAGTCCTGTATCATATCATGGTTGAGGACTGCAATAGTATCTGAAATGGTCTCACTGCCTTCTCTCTCCCTCTTCCATTCACTCTAAGATACTGCTTCTAGGGGCCAGCCCCGTGGCCAAGTGGTTAAGTGCGTGCTCCGCTTCAGCTGCCCAGGGTTTTCCAGTTTTGGATCCTTGGCACAGACATGGCAATGCTCATCAAGCCATGCTGAGGTGGCATCCCGCATGCCGCAACTAGAAGGACCCACAACTAAGAATATATAACTGTGTACCAGGGGGCTTTGGGGAGAAAAAGGAAAAATAAAATCTTTAAAAATAATAATAATAAAATAAAATCTTTAAAAAAAAGAAAAAAAGATACTGCCTTCTAGACTGATGTAATCTGATCTTGAGTTCTGTGACCCCCTCATTCCTTGTCAAGTGCGGTTTTTATCCCCACTTAAAGCTCTCTGATTTGAGGCTAGCTACATCCATTTACTTCTTATCCTTTTCCCTAGACTGTCTCTCAGTATGCTGTGCCATCTTTGTACTTGTCGCTTCATGTCTATCTTCCTATTCAAATCTTGCCCTTTTTGTAGTACCTAGCTCAGAGCCCACTTTTCTATAATACTTGTTTTTTCATCTTTGGAAATATACCATAGGTTATATTCTCCTTTTACTATTCTTTAGTTTTTATATAACTAAAGTTTGGAAAAGTGTTCAGTTTTTGGAGCCACACAAACTTCCACTTAGCTCATGACTGCTATTTTCTAACTATGACCTCTGGGTGGTCGCTGTCCTTCACCTCATTTTGCTCACCTGCAAAATTGAGATCATAGCGTGAACCTCATCAAGTTCCCATTTAGATTAAAGTACTCAGCACAGTGCCTACCTGCTTTGTTATTTAATACAAATAAAAACAGCAAGTAGATGTAGATTTAATTTGAATATACAGGTTCCTCCAGCATGCCTAATTTCCATTTGGTTGCAATTCTAGAAGGAAGTCACACACAGAGCGGCAATAATTTGATTTTAAAATTTAAGAAAAAATTGTAACTTATTGCTTCTTTTCTGATTATAAAAGTAGTAAAATCAGTACCATTAGGACTGAGGCACAGCAGCCGAGAAAGGAAGCAATCTGGAAGAACTCCCCACCATACTGAATTGCCATGCTGGTGAAACTCACTGGGAAGCCATTTGTGGGTGTGATGCAGCTTTCACTGGAGGATGAGCAGGGCCACAACTGTAGTGATGCCTAGGACTAGATTTAGACAGATGCCTAGGGACCAAAATTTAAGGCGTCACTCACGCTCAGATTTTGTGCCGTACGTGCCTCTCTTGCTTTATTTACCATAGTCTCAGCTTGTGGGAGAGGGATAATGTGTGCCACTGGGTATCCTATGCCACAAGAATAAGCCTTGAGTTGTACACTGAAAGGTGGAAGAAAAGCCTCTTGTTCTTCGAGAGTCCCTCCAGCGCCCTCTACTGACAAAGCTTAACATTGTGCCAGCTGGTAAGAGAAATGTTCCATTAAGAGAAGCATGGCAGTAAAGAATGAATTGGGAGCTGAATGACATTAAATTGGTAAAGGGTTCAACCATCATAATATAACAAGTTTTCCTCTCTTGTTAGATTTTGGCCTTAAAATGGGTACACCACACAAAAACGTTCTGGAATTAGATAAGTTTGAGAGTGACATGTTATCACTGTTTTAGAGATTCATCACACACATTAGTTCTGAGAAATCCTACAGTAGGGAAAACTATTTTACTTTATTTAGTTTGACCATGAAACTTTTCTGTTGGAAGACCTGTTACCATACTTCAGATGTGTAATATTATACAGGATACCATTCTGAAAACATTCCCCCCAAAATTAGAGTTAAGATAAGAATGCCCAGTATCACAATTGTTACTTAGCATGGTTCTGTGGAATTTCCGGCAGTTGCGTTAAGAAATAAAAGATTTTAAAGTGTAATTATTGGAAGGAAGAAGACAGTATCACTTGTGGGTGATATGATTGTCACTCAGAAATCCCAAGAAAATAGCTTGAAAGACTATTAGAAGTAATAAGTGAATTCAGTGACATGGTTGGTTAAAAGGTATTAATTAAAATCTCAGTAGTGGGGCCGGCCCACTGGTGCAGTGATTAAGTTCGCACGTTCTGCTTCTCAGTGGCCCGGGGTTCGCTGGTTCAGATCCTGGGTGTAGGACATGGCACCGCTTGGCAAAAGCCATGCTGTGGTAGGCGTCCCACGTATAAAGTAGAAGAAGATGGGCATGGATGTTAGCTCAGGGCCAGCCTTCCCCGGCAAAAAGAGGAAGATTGGCAGTAGTTAGCTCAGGGCTAATCGTCCTCAAAAAAAAAAAACAAGAAACTCAGTAGCTTTCTGTAATGCCAGGAATGGTAATATGAAAATTATTCTTAGAAAAGGATATTTTTTTGTGATTGACAACAAAATGTATAAAAATACCTAGTAATAAGCTTAAAAAGAAATGTGCAGGACCTGTAAGAGCAAAATCTTCAAACTATATGGAGCCAATTTAGTGGCAAAAGAAGACTTGAATAAGTAGAAAGCCATACTGTGTTCCTGAGTATTGTAAATATGTCAATTCTTGAAAAATCAATTATAAATGTAATGTAATTCTTTTATCAAAGTAGCCAAGGAAATTAGAACTAGACTTTAGAAAACGGATTTATCAATATGACAGTTCATAAATGGAAGAAGGCAGATAGCAAAAAAACACATGGAAAATGTTCATTATCACTAGTAAACTACCAAGTAAGACAAGATTTTTTTTCAAATACTAAATGGTAAAGATTAAAAAGAATTAATTTTTAGAGTTGTCAATAATATGGAAAAAGTGGCACCATTATCTTCCTGGGAATGTAAATAAATATAGTCATTCTGGAGGGAATTTTTACAGTATGAATCAAAATTCTTAAGAGTTTGCTTTACTATTTGATACAGCATTTTGTTCTCTAGAAACTTATATCTTTTTTTATTAGAGACTTGAGGAAATAATCATGAATGTGTATAGAAGTGTTATCTACACTGTTATGGCAAGGTTATTTATAACAGTGTAACATTAGAAGTAGCTAAAATGATTAGTATGAAATTGATTGGATCAAGTGTGGTACATTAAAAACTAATGAAATAAAAGAATGTAGGGACATGGGATAATATTCACAATGTAGTGTTAATGTATAGTAGAAAGTAGTATATAGAGTATAAGATGTGGTTGCTAGAAGATTGACTCAGTCCACCTTCTAGGCACTTGGTACTACAAAATTGTGAATTACCTCATGTAATGATAGTCTTTTTTTCTTCTTCTTCTTCTTATTCCCAAAGCCCCTCAGTACATAGTTGTATATTCTAGTTGTAGGTCCTTCTGGTTGTGCTATGTGGGACACTGCCCCAGCATGGCCTGATGAGCAGTGCCATGTCCACACCTGGGATCTGAACTGGCGAAACCCTGGGCTGCCAAAGCAGAGCACATGAACTTAACCACTTGGCCGTGGGCCAGCCCAGTGATAGTCTTTTGAGTTGCTTAAAAATTTTTGAAACTGAGGCTGACCTGGTGGCATAGCGGTTGGGTTCATGTGCTCTGTTTCAGTAGCCCGGGGTTTGTTGGTTTGGATCCCGAGCTAGTCAAGCCATGCTGTGGCAGGTGTCCCACATATAAAATGGAGGAAGATGGGCATGGATGTTAGCTCAGGGCCAGTCTTCCTCTGCAAAAAGAGGAGGATTGGTGGCAGATGCTCAGGGCTAATCTTTCTCAAAAAAAAAAAAAAAAGGTTGGAATTAAAAATGTTAACTTTTTAAATGTATACATACAAGTAAAAGAAAAGACTAGAGAGATGTAGAATGTTAGTGGTTATCTCTAGGTGGTGGGATAATGGGTGACTTTTATTTCCTTATTTATACTTTATATGTTTCTAAGAATTCTGCAGTGAGCACGTTTATTTTTTCATAATCAGAAAAAAGTATTTAAATAGATAAGATACAAAATGGAAAAGCAAAGTCAGTAATGTAATATGCCACAGATATTAAAATACGTCCATTGAAGCTCACTGGGAACTTTAGCAAAAGCAGTTTGCATATGGTAGGACTGAAAATAAAGAAGCCAAATTGCAACGTAGTAAGTAAATGGGAGATGAGATAGTGACTCCACTCTAGATTAGCATTATCCAACAGAAATAAAATGTGAGCCACATATTAATAATATATTTTATTTAACCCCATATAGCCAAAATATCTTTACAACATATAATAAATATAATATTATTAATGAATTATTGTACATTGTTACATCTCAATTCAGACTAGCCATATTTCAAGTACTCAATAATCACATGTGGTTAGCGGCTAACACACTGCACAGGGAAAGTTGAGGCTGTCCTATCTATTGAGACAGTAATACCAGACAGAGGATGGCTAGAGGGGAAATGTGAGAATCCTCTGGTCCTTTACAGTCCATTATAGCAACAGGACCCTTTCTACTGCAGCTTATTGCCTCTTAAAAAAATGAAATATTTTCTGTAATTCAAAAGAAATATATGTAAATAATATAAGAAATATATAAATAATAATAAAAAATAAAACTCATACCCTCCACCCTGTTTAAGAAATAAGATATCTTGTGACCTGTGTGCCCCTCAGTTGTATTCTTAGATTGATATTGTTTCTTCTTTTTTTTTTCCCTCTCCTACAGGTTTTGGTAAGAATAGTCTGAGCCGTCGAGGAAGAGTAATACCTGGAAAGAGACGTCCTTATGCAGTTATCACTGGCCTTGCAGCCAGAAAAGCATCTGGAATTCGAAAAGGAATTAGTCCTATGAATCGACCACCTCTAAGTGACAAGGTAGGTTGATGGCTACCCGTGAGTCAGATACCCTTTTCTTTTATTTGTACTAATGTATCTGTGCATGCGCTTGAGAGAGCATTTTATTTGAATATTTTTATTTATTTTTTAGGTAGTACTTTGGGACTTATATAAAAAATTTGGTAACTAAAAATCATTGTCATTCATGAAGAAACCTGAATTTCCACATTCTCAAATATGAAATTTTTTCTTATGGATTCCTGACTTTCCCTGTGTGTGTGTACAATTTTTAACAGGTTATTGAGGTATAAGTTTGTACTATAAAATTCATTTGTTTTAAGCATACGATTCAATGAACTTTAGAAAATTTACGGAGTTGTACAATCATCACAACAATCTAATTTTAGAACAGTTCTTTCACCCTAAAAAGAAATCTCATGTCCATTCAGTCATACCTTATCATCTGCCTCAGGCAACCACTAATCTACTTTCTGTAGATTTTCCATATATTTGCCTGTTCTGTACATTTCGTGTAAATGGAAATTATACAATAATAAATGGTCTGGCATGTAGCCATGTTTTTCAGGTTCAGGTTCATGTTGTAGCATGGATCAATACTTCATTCCATTTTATTACTGAATAATATTCCGTTATATGGATATACCATATTTTGTTTATCCATTCACCAGTTGATGGACATTTTGGTTGTTTCTGCTTTTTGGGTATTGTGAATAATGTTGCTGTGAACATTCACCTGTAAGTCTGTATGGACATAGGTTTTCATTTCTCTTGGGTAGGTACCTATCCCCTAGTTGATATTTTTAATTAGAGTTACAATCATTTACCCACCATAAGTTAGTTACTTTTCAAATTTTAACTTAAGTTTTATTTACATCTCAAGGAGTAATTTTTGGATTGGCTAAAGCATTCCTTAAAATAGTTTCACAAATTGTTTTTCTTCTAATTCTTATGTTTAGTACGTCTGAACCACTAAAGAATTTAATGTTCTACTTTTCAATCCCTTTGGTTTCTCTGATTATGAAAGTAATACATACTTGTAAAAAAAAATTCAGGACATTCATTCCTTAAATTATCTTAAATGTGCGTATTCTGGTTAAAAACCACAACTGTCTTAGATCCCTTAACTTTTCAATTCTGCCACCACCAACAGCTGTTCTCTCCTCTAAAACTTTATCATAGAATTTACTGTTTAATTATTAGAAATTAGAAGACATTAATGAGATATGGATACTGGAAGGGAGAGTGGGTTTAACTGCTAATTACTTGCTCCAGGAAAAATTTTAAGTTGCCACATGTGGTAGTCTTTTGAGTTGTTTGAAAATATTGAAAATGTTAAATTATAGAATGCTAAGAATGTACTGAATAGATTTTAGAGAGAGTCAACTTAGAATATCTGTCATATAAAAGTTGTGTTTAAGTTCTTACGAGATTCTTCTACTGGACTGTATATCTTTGTCAGTGTCAATTCCGTAACTTTTCCCTTTTAGATTCAGAATTTACCAAAACTGGGCCTATGTTATTTTCTGTAGAACTTTTAACTTAACTCTGATAATACTAAACCATTTAGAACATCTGTGACCTTAAAAAAATGTGTTGTTGCTGCGTGTAAATGGCAGTTATTTTCTACTAACGGGTAGTTTTAATCATTTATCTGATTTTGACAGAAATAAACACCTTATCTCCATACTGTGGAATTCTATTTAGCGATAAAAAAGGAATAAATGTTAATACACAGGATAGCATGGATACATTTCAAAACATTGTGCTAAGCAAAAGAGGCCAAATACAAAAGACTATGTACTGTGTGATCCCATTTATTTGAAATTGTAGAAAAAGCTAAGCTATAGTGACAAATCAGTTATGCTTGGAGTGGGAGTCAGGCGAGGTAAGGGAATTGACTACAGAGGGTCACAAGGAAACGTTTTAGGGTGAGGGCACTCTTCTCTATCTTGATTATGGTGTGGTTACATGATTGTATGTAATTATCCAAATTCATCAAACTATAAACTTAAAATTTTATTCTATGTACATAATACCCTAATAAAATTAACATAAAAATGAACTAAATATCTTAATTTCTTTCTCTCAAGGAATATATTTTTTTTTGATGAGGAAGATTGTCCCTGAGCTAACATCTGTGCCACTCTTCCTCTATTTTGTATGTGGGAGGCTGCCACAGCATGACTTGATGAGTGGTGTATAGGTCTGCACCTGGAATCTGAACCTGTGAACCCCCGGGGCCACTGAAGCGGAGTGTGTGAACTTAACCACTAAGCTGCCAGGCCAGCCCCAAGGAATAATTTTTTTTTTTAATTTTTTAATTTATTTTTTTTATTAAGGTTATAAAAGTTAACATCCTTGTGAAATTACAGTTGTACATTATTATTAGTCATGTTGTAGTTACACCACTTCACCCCTAGTGCCCTCCCCCCACCCCCCTTTCCCCTGGCAACCACCGATCAGTTCTCTTTGTCCATACGTTAACTACCACCTATAAGTGGAGTCATACCGAGTTCGTCTTTCTCTGTCTGGCTTATTTCACTCAACATAATTCTCTCAAGGTCTATCCATGTTGTTGTGAATGGGACAACTTTGTCCTTTTTTATGGCTGAGTAGTATTCCATTGTATATATATACCACAACTTCTTTATCCAATCATCAGTTGCTGGGCACTTCAGTTGGTTCCATGACTTGGCTATTGCGAATAATGCTGCAATGAAGATAGGGGTGCATAGAGCTTCTGAAATTGCTTATTTCAGGTTCTTAGGATAGATACCCAGTAGTGGGATGGCTGGGTCATAAGGTATTTCTATTCTTAACTTTTTGAGGAATCTCCATACTGTTTTCCATAGTAGCTGCACCAGTTTGCATTCCCACCAACAGTGTATCAGGGTTCCCTTTTCTCCACAGCCTCTCCAACATTTGTCACTCTTGGTTTTGGATATTTTTGCCATTCTAACAGGTGTAAGGTGAGATCTTAGTGTAGTTTTGATTTGCATTTCCCTGATGATTAGTGATGATGAGCACCTTTTCATGTGTCTATTGGCCATCCGTATATCTTCTTTGGACAAATGTCTGTTCATGTCCCCTGCCCATTTTGTAATTGGGTTATTTGATTTTTTATTGTTGAGTTGTGTGAGTTCTTTGTATATTATGGAGATTAACCCTTTGTCGGATAAATAACTTGTGAATATTTTTTCCCAATTAGTGAGCTGTTTTTTTGTTTCAATCCTGTTTTCCCTTGCCTTGAAGAAGCTCTTTAGCCTGATGAAGTCCCATTTGTTTATTCTTTCTATTGTTTGCCTCATGTGAGGGGTTATGGCGTCCGAAAAAATTCTTTTGAAGCTGATGTCAAACAGTGTGCTGCCGATATTCTCTTCTAGAAGACTTATTGTTTCAGGTCTAATCTTTAGGTCTTTGATCCATTTTGAGTTTATTTTAGTAAATGGTGAAAAAGAATGGTAGATTTTCATTCTTTTACATGTGGCTGTCCAGTTTTCCCAGCACCATTTGTTGAAGAGACAGCTTTCCTCCATTGTAGGCCCTCAGCTCCTTTGTCAAAGATTAGCTGTCCATAGATGTGTGGTTTTATTTCTGGGCTTTCAATTCTGTTCCATTGATCTGTGCATCTGTTTTTGTACCAGTACCATGCTGTTTTGATTACTGTGGCTTTGTAGTGTGTTTTGAAGTCAGGGATTGTGATGCCTCCAGCTTTGTTCTTCTTTCCCAGGATTGCTTTAGCAATTCGGGGTCTTTTGTTGCCCCATATGAATTTTTGGATTCTTTGTTCGATTTCTGTAAAGAATGACATTGGAATTCTGATTGGGATAGCGTTGAATCTGTAGATTGCTTTAGGTAGTATGGACATTTTAACTATATTTATTCTTCCAATCCATGTGCATGGAATGTCTTTCCATGTCTTTATGTCGTCGTCGATTTCTTTCAAGAAGGTCTTGTAGTTTTCGTTGTATAGATCTTTCACTTCCTTGGTTAAATTTATCCCAAGGTATTTTATTCTTTTTGTTGCAATCGTGAATGGGATTGAGTTCTTGAGATCTTTTTCTGTTAGTTCATTGTTAGCATATAGAAATGCTACTGATTTATGTATGTTGATTTTATACCCTGCGACTTTGCTGTAGTTGTTGATTGTTTCTAATAGTTTTTGTATGGATTCTTTGGGGTTTTCTATATATAAGATCATGTCGTCTGCAAACAGCGAGAGTTTTACTTCTTCATTGCCTATTTGGATTCCTTTTATTTCTTTTTCCTGCCTAATAGCTCTGGCAAACACCTCCAGTACTATGTTGAATAGGAGTGGTGAAAGTGGGCACCCTTGTCTTCTTCCTGTTCTGAGAGGGATGGCTTTCAGTTTCTGTCCATTGAGTATGATGTTGGCTGTGGGTTTGTCATATATGGCCTTTATTATGTTGAGGTACTTTCCTTCTATACCTATTTTATTGAGGGTTTTTATCATAAATGGATGTTGGATCTTGTCGAATGCTTTCTCTGCATCTATTGAGATGATCATGTGGTTTTTGTTTCTCATATTGTTAATGTAGTGAATCACGTTGATTGACTTGCGGATGTTGAACCATCCCTGTGTCCCTGGTATAAATCCCACTTGATCATGGTGTATAATCTTTTTGATATATTGCTGTATTTGGTTTGCCAAAATTTTGTTGAGGATTTTTGCGTCTATATTCATCAGTGATATTGGCCTGTAGTTTTCCTTCTTTGTGTTGTCCTTGTCAGGTTTAGGGATCAGGGTGATGTTGGCTTCATAGAATGTATTAGGGAGTGCTCCATCTTCCTCTATTTTCTGGAACAGTTTGCGAAGGATAGGTATTAAATCTTCTTTGAATGTTTGGTAGAATTCTCCAGAGAAGCCGTCTGGTCCTGGACTCTTATTTTTGGGGAGGTTTTTGATTACTCTTTCTATTTCTTTACTTGTGATTGGTCTATTCAGATTCTCTATTTCTTCCCGAGGAATAATTTTTTTAATCAAAATTATTATGAAAGAAAAACATTCCTAGGTATACTTTTTAGAACACATTTATACACACATATAAATTCTAGAGCCATGGAACATAAATTCACCATATATTAATGGGTATTATAGTTGTATTCCATGTATTCATCATTTAACTAATGTTGACTGAGTACCCACTGTATGCTAGATGCAAGGGATTCTGCAGTGAATCAATAGAAAATCATATGATTACAATATGGCAAGTATTTTGAAGGAAAATAATCTGACAACAGCATCAAAGAAGGAGCTTTCATGTTTACTTGATGTTATTAAAGACAAAAATACAGACCTTGGAATGGGCCATTAATCTGATTTTGTAGCATTTCTCCTATGCTCTTGATATTCTTTATCCCTGTTTTTACATTTACTTCTTTTCCAAATATTTATGAAAATGAAGATTTTTATAATTTTTTAGGTGTAAATTTAAATTTATTTATTTTTGTTTTGTTTTGTGGGTTTTTTTTGAGGAAGATTAGCCCTGAGCTAACATCTGCTGCCAATTTTCCTCTTTTTGCTGAGGAAGACTGGCCCTGAGCTAACATCCATGTCCATCTTCCTCTACTTTATATGTGGGACGCCTACCACAGCATGGCTTGCCAAGCGGTGCCATGTCCGCACCCAGGAGCTGAACCAGTGAACCCTGGGCCGCCGAAGTGGAACATGCACACTTAACTGTTGTGCCACTGGGCTGGCCCAGATTTTTATAATTTTTGCGTTTTATAGTCAGTCAGTATTTATGAAATATTTCTCATATGCTTAAAATATAAGGGAATCCAGATTAAGTATAAGATATATGGTCCATATTGTCAAGGACTTTTGAAAAGTCTTTATGGAAAATATGGAAACCTAAATTGGGCTTTAATGATAGATTGAACTTACATATGTGGAGGGAGAAAAGGTGGACATTTCATGTGCTTGTTTCTATGATATTAAATTTTCTTTTCCTTTTTTTCTCTGTAGCCATTTCTACTCAGGCCTCTTTGTTATCACGACCTCCTCTTTTTTCTTTCTCACATATTTTTATTTTTTGTACCTTGGCCCTCTTATCCCTTCACTTGATATCAAAATCACGTTTATATAAATGATCCCCTGATTTACATCTCTGGCTCTCTGATTCTTCTCTTGAGCTCCAGAGGCATGTTTCCCCATCACCCGTGCATCTCCCAGAGCACCTCAAAAAAATAAAAATTTATTTTTCTGTTTGAATTCTCCTTTTGAGGCAAGAATTTTAAGTATGATGTGGTTGTTGTCTTTTTAGTCACTTAACACTGGAAACATTCAAGTCACTTAATCTCTGTTTCTCTAACCTATACATCTCAGCAGTCCGTGTCCATTCTGCCTCAGGAATGTTTATTGTAGGAGGATATATGTCAAAAAGCAATCTGATTAACATAGTTTCTTGCCTTCTGAAAGAATATAGAACGATATTTTCCAGCATTAAAAAGGAAGACAAACCTTCTGAGACAAAATGAAGTGCAGAGAAAACCAGTTGCAGTTCTCAAGAGACCTAACCAGTTAAATAGAAAGTAAGTACTCAAATATAAGACAATAATAAAGACAATAATATGTTATCCTGCATTTAAAAAGATACATTTCTCACACTACATATTCAAAGGGATGGATTTGCAGTGATTCTTGTAGTTATTTGGTCATTTTCAAGACATATTTGGAATGTCTCTGAACATCCAACATGAAAGCATTCAGTAATAGCTTCCTTATATTTTAGACCCAGTGTTATTGATGAATTTAACTAATTATAAATTTTTTAAAAAAACTTCACTCTACTTCTTTACCTCTCTTGACATATAGAATAAAATTGCAATGACATATAGAATAAAATTGCAAAAGGTGATTATTTTGGTAAAAACACCTCAGCCAGAATTATTCATAATTGGGAATCCTGAAAGCTGAGTTTGTTATTCAGTCTCGGTGGCTTTTAATAGAACAATATGTGTTATTTGTGGAAAAGGCCAACTAGAAAGAATTCTGTGTAAATGCTTATTAAGCTGAAATTATTTTTATATTAAATTGAAAGGCATAACAAAAACTTAAAAATTATGACCTATTGTGGCGTTCTGTTCTCTGTATGGATAAAGTGGGCAGAAAGGAAATTGACAAGCTATGAAGTTTCCTTATTTCAGTTTCAAGTACCATTTATTAATTTCTTATAGAAGATAATTCAAAACAAAAAAGCCCTGAAATGAAGTCTTGGTATAAATGCAATGGCTGGAATTGCAGTTTTGCTTTAAAACCATTGTCTCTTTTTTTTGGAATCACTTGGTGGTACCTTTTGGAAAAAGGGAACTTCTCAAATAATAACTTGTTAATTACATGAGCCATTAATGAGCCCATCTTAATTTGGCTACCACGGAAATTTAGCATTTGAGCCTCTGTAAGATTGGAGGTAAGATTAGCTAACCTGTTAAGCACTCAATTATAAAAATAAATAAAAATGAAAATTTTTTTCTCGTATTTTACCAACTTCCTATAGAAACTAGAAAGGAATTAGTGAAGGTCAAGTCAAACATATTTAAGAGTATGTTGTTCTGTGCATGAAAGAGGAAGCAGCGGAAGAGAGTAAGTCTGTCTGTGTTTTTTATTAATACATAAAGGTTTCTGAGTGAGGAAGGAAGAGAAAACTGGACATGTTATTTTCAAGGTTTTCTCTGTTTTTGGTTTTCAGTAGTTCAACTATGAGGTGCCTAGATGTGATCTTTGTACTAATCCTGTAAATCTGTTCATTTATATTTGTCACCAAATTTAGGATTAAAAATGTTAAAATGTCTTCAGAGGAGTTGTTTTATGTCAGAATATTAGAGAGCTGAATATTTGCAAGATAGATTAATACAAAATTAACCAGGTTGTTATGTAATATGCTGCAGAGGGAGATATTTGTAAATCAAATCTTTGTGTAAATAAGAAAATAATTTAGAGTCTTTATGTTTAGTGTACCTCAAGTTTTCAGCCTATGAATTTAACTGTTTTTGCTTATTTTTTCTCAAGATGTTTTCAGAGTTAAGTGGCTCAGGCTATTCATGATATATGTGTTTTTGTTGCAGAAATAATATTCCAGCCAATTTTACTAGGAGTGGAAATAAATTAAGTCATCAGAAAGACACTCGCCAGGCAACTTTTCTTTTCAGAAGAGGCCTGAAGGTATTAAAAACTCTTGGTAGTGTTTTCTTTGTACCCAAACAAAGGATCCTCAACATCCACCTTTAGTAATTCTCAATCGTAGGCATGGCCCGTGGTTGAGGTGTAGGGGTTGGGTCTGGGATTTGCAGAACATGACATTAGATTCGTTCTTTTTTTTTTTTCCTATTTTCTTTTTTGTTGTCCTCAATAGCAACATCTTATAAGAATTTAATGTTATTTAGGAATAAACTTGTTTTTATCACTTGTTCTCATATAGGAACCCCAACAAAGACGTGTTGCCAGAATAAGCACATGCCCCTCTCCTGCATTCATACATATACCATACTGGGTTATAAGGTTACAGAGCAGGATAGCTCTTTGGATTCAAGTCCTCTGCTTTCTGTGGGATCTACTGCTTTTTTTTTCCCTTCAGGTTCAGGCCCAGTTGAACACAGAACAACTGCTAGACGATGTAGTAGCAAAGAGAACTCGTCAGTAAGTTTCAATTTGTTTTTCAAGATGTCATTTCAAAACTCCCAGAATATTAGTGACCCGAATTACTATATGCCCCAATCCAAAAGAAATTAAATGAATAAATTAACTGTTGAGCCTGAAATAAATAAATCTTATTTTGTTTTTTCCCAAAAACCTTTTTTTATTTTTTATTTTTTTATTTTATTAATTTTATGTTTCCTTTTTCTCCCAAAGCCCCCTGGTACATAGTTGTGTGTTTTTAGTTGTGAATCCTTCTAGTTGTGGCATGTGGGATGCCACCTCAGCATGGCTTGATGAGCGGTGCCAGGTCCTCGCCCAGGATTCAAACCGGTGAAACCCTGGGCCACCAAAGCAGAGCACTCGAACTTAACTACTCAGCCATGGGGCCGGCCCCCCCAAAAACCTTTTAAATTTTCACCTCAGTATTTTAACGGTTTTGGCACGAAATACATTCTGTTTTTAGGGTTTTTTTTTTACTTTTTTTCCATTTTATTAAAACAGCTCTTTATTTTCTGTAGCTGCTTTTATACAAATGAATGTATTAGAGAATAAATAGAGGAAAATCCAATAGAGCTTTTAGAAAATTTGTAAACCTTTAAAAACAATAAGATGTTTCTCCTTTTCACATTTTTTCCCCTTACACCTATAAAGGTTTTTAAAAATATATTTTTGTGTGTTAGAATTGCACTTCCCAAGTGTGTGAGTTGTAGCATTCTAATTCCATCAATATGATCAGCTTTGGAGATTAAACCATATAAAATTATGGCTGCTTTTTGGAAAATAAAATATGATCGTGGTCCAGATATGATTCCAACTAAAATAGGGCATGATTTTGAGCAATCAAAGTGTAAGAAAGGAAACTATTTGAATGTAATGCTGGCAGTATTCTTTTGCACAAGAGTCATGACATTGGAAATCATAAGGAAGTGATAATCATAGTCTATTTGCTTCTGCAATGAAAATTTTTTACATAATTGTAATAATATAAATGCTTTTTATTTGTTTTGAGAATCAACCTATAGAACATAGCACAAAATACTTAATTTGGTAACAGAATATAATGTAAATGTTGGATTTTGACTAACATAAATATAAGAGTAGAGCTGATAAAAAGTGGGAGGTACAAAGTGGGAGAAGAGGTGGAAGAAAGGAATGGAGGTACTACTGTCCTTTCATAGAAAGTGAGTAGGGGATGGTGTCAAGAGACACTACTGAAAGAAAGAGATTTAAGTATATTTAAAGTTATAATGGAAGTAAAATAGTGATATAGCCATCAAAACGGTTAGGAGTAGGTAGGGAAACTAGACTATAGTGTGATGAGCTAAATCCTCATCATAGCAAGATATTATATAAGCATCTTGTTTAGCAAACTGGAGGTAGTGAGCGAACAGTAAAAACAGGCAAGGTTAGAATTGCTGCCTCTGGGAAGCAGGAAGGCGGAGAATGGTGGGGTGAAGGACTGTTGCTTTCATTAGAAGCCTTTCTGTGTTGACTTTTTTTTAGTGTGCATATATTTGTTACACTGAAAAATATTAAATAAATTCAGGTATCCAGTTCCTACCTCCAAGATGGTGATTAATTATATCATGGTGGGCCCCAGGTATCTATATTTCTTAAAAGCTAAGAAAAAATAATGGCTATGTTAAAATGTATGTTTATATGTAGAATACATTATAGGGTTTATAAACTTATATTTTAATGAAGTTTTGGTTTTTTGAAACTAGATGGCGGACTTCCACTACAAATGGAGGAATTTTGACTGTATCCATTGACAATCCTGGAGCAGTGCAGTGCCCAGTGTAAGTCTTTATTGTGCAAAAAGTATAACTTCTCATTATGTAAGATGATAGAATAGTGTTGGTCTTCTGCTCAGAGTATGATCCAAGTTAGAATAAACTGAGACAAGAATAAAAGTACAGTCATGCATCGCATAACAATGTTTCAGTCAACATTGGACTGCGTATACAACAGTGATCCCACAAATTAGTACCACATGGCCTACATGTGGAGTAGGCTATACCATGTAGGTTTATGTAAGTAGGCTCTGTGATGTTCATGTAATGATGTGTTTCTCAGAACATATCCTGGTCGTTATGCAATGCAAGACTCTAATACTTGTGGTACAAAATGGAAATAGTATAGTATAAAGTTAAGAGTAAAAGCTTTCTTGATTCCTAGTTCTGCAGCCCCAAAGTAACCACATTTAACAATTTTGTGTTTTTATTTTAAAAATTCGGTGCTTGTATAACAAATAAATGTACATCTATTTTTATGTATACCTTCTTCCCCTTCCCCCAGTATATTTTTGACATCTTTACTTTTCGGTACATATAGATCTACCTTCTTTTTAAAGGCTTCGTAGTGCATTCTTTCATCTAGATGACCTTAATTTAGTTAATCATTCCATTATATTTATTGCATTATAAACTTTCTAAGTTTATGGAGTTTGTCATCTAGCCAGACATTTTAATGATTGAAATGAAAAAACATGTGATGAGTCTCTAGAAGATCAAGACTTGGAGATCACAGTCATTCCAAATTGTTGAAAAGTTTATGGTTCTACTTAAAGAGGTGTCCTGTGAACTATTATAAATTTTAGTCTCTAGATTAGTCAGTCAAGAACCAGATACTTTTCTTGAGAGCACAAATAAAGTATCCCTAATACATTTGAACATGTGTACATGTCAAGATGTTTTATGTACCAAATGATTTATTTCTCTTATTTTGATTGTTAAGCTGATCTGATTTCATTTTTATATTTTTCTAATAGAACCCAGAAACCACGATTAACTCGTACTGCTGTACCCTCATTCTTGACAAAACGGGAGCAATCTGATATAAAAAAAGTTCCTAAAGGTGTCCCTTTACAATTTGACATAAATAGTGTTGGAAAACAGGTAAACTTTTTTCCTGTAGTTCTTTGGACCATTTATGGTTAATATTCTAATTAACAAATGTATAACAAATTAAATAGGATGTCCTAAGTCTCCTCAACCCTAGGAAACCATTGATCTGTCTACTTTCTGTCTCTGTGGATTTGCCTGTTTTGGACATTTCATATTAATGGGATCATATACTATGTGATGTTTTTTGACTGGCTTCTTTCACTTAGCATAGTGTTTTCAAGGTTCATCCATACTGTGTTAATATTTCCATTTTTTTAATTGCTGAATAATGTTTCATTAAATGGATATATACTGTATTTTATATATTCATTTATCAGTTAATGGATATTTGGATGGTTTTCATTCTTGAGCTATTGTGCATAATGCTCCTTTGAACATTCACGTACAAGTTTTTGTGTATGTGTTTTCCTTTCTCCTTGGTAAATACCTACCAGTGAAATTGCTAGGTCGTATCATAACTCTGTTTAACCTTTCGAGGAACTGCCAGACTGTTCTCCAAAGAAGTGACTGCACTATTTTACATTCCTACCAGCATGTATAAGAGTTCTAAATGTTTCCATGTCCTCCCCAACACTTGTTATTATCTGTCATTTGATTATAGCCATCCAAGTGTGTGTGAAGTGGTATATTTCACCATGGTTTTGACAGTTTTGTGTTGACCTTGTATCTTATGTCTTGCTAAAATTCATTTATTACTTTTAGTAATTTTGTAGATTCGTTAGGATTTTCTATGTGAACAATCATGTCATTCTCCAAATTACTTTCTAATCTTTAAATCTGTTCTTGTTCTTTATTATAATGGCTAGGATTGACTTTCAGTACAATGTTCAATAGAAGTGGGAGAGCATGTATCCTTGCCTTGTTCCCAGGCTAAAGGAGAAAGTATTAAATGTTTTACCATTGAGTATGATGTTACCATTAGGTTTTTAGTAGAGTCTCTTTATCAGATTGAGGGAGCTTCCTTTTATTTGTAATTTGCTAAGAACTTTTATCATGAATGGGTGTTGGATTTTGTCACATGCTTTTTTTGTATCCACTGACACAAGAATCTGTGGAATTCAAGATATGAAGTATGGACAGAAATTTGACCAAATTGATTTTGGTTATTTTTATTTTGTCACTGTTGTTACTTTCCTTTCAGAAATTGGGTATAATTTGTGTGCTTTCTGTTGTTAATCAAAAACCATATTTTGATATGAATTTCTGTGATGAACTTACAGAAATTCAAGGAAATTTGTTTCAAAATATTCACAAGTCTAAATAACTCTTTTATCAAAGGCATTGCTACAGTTGGTGGCAGTGTTTGCAGAGCCTAAAAATAATTCAGATAGAGAAATCGTTGGATGTATGACTTATAGGCATTATAGGATATGTGTTTTATATAGTGTATAATGTAGGCATTATAATGGCTAGGAGATAGGGATTCTGAGTCAGACTACCTGGTATAAATTCTGGAGCTGCAAGTAGGCAAGTTAACTAACTTCGGCAAACTTCACTAAATTTACCTATTTCGTACGGTTTTTCTTAAAATTAAATGAGTTCATACACATAAATATTCAGGAAATGTTGGCTGTTGTTACTGTGAATACCATTATGATTGCATTATTGTTCCAAAGAAAATATGGCTTGTAGTCAAGTAGTTTAATTTTTTGTTTTGTTTTGTTTTCTCTAGACAGGGATGACTTTGAACGAGCGATTTGGGATCCTGAAGGAACAAAGAGCCACTCTCACGTTCAACAAAGGAGGAAGCCGCTTTGTAACTGTGGGATAGATCCCATGTCAAAGGGACGTTGGAGTGATGACTCTGTTTTAAAAGTTGAATTGCTTGAAGAGTTCGTCACAGAAATTCAAGAAACTTTATTTCAAAATATTCACAAGGCTAAATAACTCCTATTTTTATTTTTGAAGTTTTTTTTTTTTTTAATGTATAAATAATGCCCTGGAAGAATAACAGGGAATATACCTATCTGTTCTTAAAGATTTCATGGTTGGCTCAGACAGAACAATTCTCTATTTGACTTCTTTGGTTCCTCATGCAGCAGAAAGAAGACAGAGAGATAGAAATTGATTATTTTTATGATAGTGGTATTTAGGATCTCATTGCCTTTGCCCATTTTTTACACTTTGCCATGGTAAATCTTGATCTTCAGAAATATTAATAGGTCCCTTTGTTGCTGTCACTTATCTTTTATAGTGCTGATGTAATAAGTGTGGTTGACTTTTCTTCCTTAGAGGTGTAAAAAAATTTATTAGAATTGCAGTTTTGGGTTTTAAGGTTTATGGGAATATCTAGAACTTGGTTCATTTTTCAGGTAACATTAGGTTAATCCTCCAGAGTTGTAAATCTTTAATACTGAACTTTTAACAAGAAATGTGACTCTAGGCGTTAGTCTCAGTTTAAAATGTTGGTGTGTAAAAGGCTATAAATGTGTTTACAAAGTTATTTGATAGAGCATTGGAGGAGAAGGTCCGATGTAAAAGCTGACAATTTGTGTTTAGTAAATGAAGAAAGTATGAGAGGGAGTAGCAGGTTGAATACAGGTAACTGAGGTGAAAAACTTTGAAACACAGGTTATAAGTATACTGTTTGGATTTAGTGTAGTCTTAAATCTAGTGTCCACAGAGAATTCTTCAAATAATATTTAGAAGAATTATAATTATTAAAATGGATTGAGCCCCTTAGATATTTTGATAGTAAAATTAATAGCCATAAAGTCCTAGACTTTCTTATTTGAAAAGTTAAGTTTTATAAGCTTTTGAGCTTGCTAAGTTAAATAATATACAGCTCCAAAAATGAAAATATGCTTGTACACATCACAAAGAAAAAAACTGCAAAATGATGATAGAGTTACATTGTAACATTGTTTTGTCCCTTTCACTCTGATTTCTTGTATAAAATTCAGGCATTTATGATGAGAAAAGGGTTTTCCCCCCCACACTCTGGAGTGGTAGGAGGAGTTAGTCTGTTGTGCCAAGTTAGTGTTGAGTCCTCAGATGGTTGTATACTATAAGTTATGGTATAATGCCAAAATGCAGCAAAATATTCCAGTTACAAGTTTGGTCATTTTGAAGCTTAACCTTTTGGTTTGCTATAATGTTAAAACCTCTAAATAGCTGTTAGTTTCCCTAGAGTGTATTATTAGTGTTGATTTTCCCTGTAAAAAAAAACAAAGCATTAAGTTATCACTCCTGCCTGCCTTGCATTGTATGCTAGACTTTATTGTTGTCTCTCTTCCTCCTTGGGTTACTTGGTTTATGCTAGCCACGGAAAGCTATCAATAACAGTTTCATGCTTATACCAAAGAATTAAATCTGATCCTTAATATCTGGTATTTTGCCAGTCAGTCTACTGATAAGGGATTATTGGAAGCCAGTCATACAATTTGAAAATAAACTCTAGTCTCTCCTTAGGCCAAGGACTCATTGCGAAACTTTTTTGCAAATATAAATGCTTAGATTTGATCCATGAACAGTAAGTTTTAGACTGGTTTAGAATTACTGGTAGCTTATTTTAAAGCAAAGGAAAAACAACTGAGCACGAGTTTGCTGTCTTTAGAACAGTTTGTGAAAATATGGTATAAAGTTTTCATTTTCTTATTTTAAATATTATTGTATAGAGCTATTATTAATGCCTTTTTTTGAAAACTTTAAAAATTGCCCCAAATATTGACATTAAGTGCATCAAACAACAGAGTGTCTTTGGTATATTAAACTTTTGCTCTTCATGCATCTGTCATTTCATTTTCTTTTTAAATATAAAATTTTGCCTTTGTTACAACTAAATTAAAATTCTTGAGTGCTAACATGTTGTATATAGACAAAAGAATATGCTTTGTTGGAGGAAAATTTCCTTTCTTGGAATGTGGTTGTAGTCATCCTTTTTCAGTTCTTAAAGTTTTTTTTTAAAAACAGGATGCAACTTAAAATTTCCTTTGCATCAAGGTGTATGCAAAACATTGATGCAGTGCATCACAAAATGAACGTTTGTATTTAATGAGGAGATGCTTTACACTGTACTTTTTGGTGTTTTTTGGAAAAGTTACATTTAGATCTATTCTGAAGCTGTCCATTTTTAACAAATAAAATGTTACAGGTCTCACATGATTTATTCTTAGCTATAAAGATTGAGTTGTGGTTTATAGATTGTTCTATGTTACAAAGAACTTTGTGGTGATATATTTACAACTTTTAGAGTTTGCCAACCTACCTACCAGCCAAGTTGGTAAATCACTCTAGACTCATATTGACATCCTTCCAACTGCCTTTTGACCATTTCATTCAGATTTACTTAGAATGCAGAATATTAGGTTAAATGAGCCTTTAGAGATCATCCAGTTCAAGTCCTCTTTTTACATCCTAGTTAAGTGAAATTCAACTTTTCAAGACTTGTTTGTGGCAGTCACTTTTTGAGCTCAGATCTTTTAATTCTCAGTTCGTAATAAACTGCCCTTGTCAATTGAACACCCACAGAAAGTAGTAGAGTAGTGTGTGGCTTGTCAGATATCTAAGAAGTGGTAATAGCCATGCTTTGGCATTTGTAGCGTGGTAAGTAAATCTACTCTACCAGTGATGATCATGAGACTTCGTTACTTTGGTATTATGTAGACCCATTAGAAAAAGACCAGTCTTCCTAATCAGATGTTATGTATTTTTTTCTAATAGGCATAAACTTTTAAATTTTAATTTTAAATAAATCATAAAATACTTCTAAGTATGAGGAAACTTATAGGCGTCATTGCCCAATTGTTATTTTTTGTTAGAATAAATATATATGTCATATTTTCCTGTCAATAGCTTTATAATTCACATAACATACAGTGTCAGGGTAATTTTGTTCTGATGTGTATTTACCATAAGGAAGTAAGAGTGAGAAAAAATAGCTGACTTTGCACTACAGAGAATGAATATACACTCTGAATGCAGGCAATATTAGGGCAGAAAATGATTTCTTCGTTTCTGATCAATGTACCTTTGAACTTTCATCAGGATTATATGATTATTTGGTTTTTGCCACTGTAAAAAAAAAATGAAGCATGTGATTTAAGCTTCCATTTAAAGACAGCTCTTTTTGCATAGATCATTTTGGAGTTAGCCTCTTTTATAAAGTGATACCAATAAACCCCAAGCTTTTACAATAAGAATTTTAGACTGTTATGGACCATTAACAGAGATTTAAAGATTTGCTTATAAATTGTTGACTTCTAATGTCTTTTTCTTTCCCTACCATTACAGTTTGCTTTCTATCTGAAATCTATTCAACAAAAAGGTTGATAAAACAGGGAAATGTGATAACCATTCTGGAACTGAAATTCCTTGTTCTGAGTGTATTCAGATCAGGTTTACCTATGTTTAAAGATGAGTAGGAAACTTCCCCTCGTGTCTGTGTGTTTAACTTCTACTTCGATTTCCATTTTCCTCTAAGAGAAGAAAATCACCTTGTCTAAATTTTAAATTTAAAAGTCAGTTATTAGTGTTTCTTATTAAAGAAGTCAGGAAAGGAAAGGACCAAACATTTATTGAATGTATTCAACAAGTCAGTGTCTTTGCTTTACTTTTGCAGAGAATGGGATTAGCCAAGATTTTAATCCTACTACTTTGGGTTTATAAAAGTGGAGACTTACAGGAGTGACCATAATATATTTCTAGTGAGTAGAAGGGGCAAGGGAAGGACTTTATTTCTGCATGGTATAGTGAGATGCAGAATTGGAGAGAGCTATTGAGATTTGAGTGAAACGTTTTTGCCCCTAGTATTCAATGAGTTAACTCTCAGCCTGTAAAATAAACAGGAAGAAGCAGGGAAGTTCTCTCTATCAATTCTTAACAATCAGTAACCCCCACTGCCTGTTTTTTCAGCTCCTGCTTCCAGTCCACAGAGCAGTAGTGGAATAAGTTATAGATCCCTGTAACCGTTTTACTCACAGCCTTTTTGTAACTGTTTCTCATCATTTCTTTTATTCATCACTAGACTCTCTGGTGAGGGGCTGCCCCCGTGGCGGAGTGGTTAAGTTCGCACACTGCTTCAGCAGCCCAAGGTTTCGCTGGTTCTTATCCCGGGCGCGGATATGGCACCACTCGTCATGCCACGCTGAGGCGGCACCCCAGGTGCCACAACTAGAAAGACCCACCACTAAAATATACAACTATATACTGGGGGGATTTGGGGAGAAGCAGCAGAAAGGAAGAAAAAGATTGGCAACAGTTGTTAGCTGAGGTGCGAATCTTTAAAAAAAAAAAAGACTGGTGAACTCACAATGACTCCATTTCCTATATCTCATTCTCACAAGATGATCTTTTCACTTGCTTTATGGAGAAGATTGAGGGAGTAGGATGAGAATTCTCTCATATTGTACCTTTATTTTTTAGGTGAAACCTCAAATCCTTAGAAGTCTCAAAATTAGCTCCTTTATCTTTTCTTTCAGCCTTTCTTTACTAGGAGTTGTCTCATATAATGGTGTATATAGCATCTTCATTTCCCCCCGTATCCACGGGCCTTTCTTTCGATCTTCGAATATCTACAGACTTACGTACCCTGTTCTCAAAAATTGTTGTTGTCGCCTCCCAACCTTCTCTCCTGTGTTAGTACAGTAACCCATCATGTGTCTCTGCTGCTTTCCATTCATTCTCACTATTTTTTTTAACTCCTGTTGATATACTCAGCCCTGGGATATGGACAATTAAAGAGTTTAACATATTAAGGACCTTAAAATCTAGTTGAACAGGAAAGTAACATAAATCTATAAACTTGTTCAGAAGTTCAGAGACCTGGATTTGCATGGTATGTTGTAATTATGATGAGATATGCAGATAGGAAGAATGAGGCCATATTACAAAGACCTTATCGGAAGAATTTAGTGTAAATGTGGAAGATAATAGGTAATCAAATATAGATGACAATGGTGCATTTTAGCTATCTGGCAACTATTTCTGTAGCATTGTAGAGTTAATATGGAATATAGGATTATGCTTTTAGTCATTGTAGTTGAAGTATCTCTAAAAAGTATAAAATGAGGTCCTGCTCTTAATTAGCTTAAAATCTTTCTAAGAATAACAAAATTTTAGGAAACCAAAATCAAGAAAACCAGTTCATGCATTGGATAAGTGTTATTTGCCAAGGATGACAAATGTAGATCATTTGCCATTGCAGTGACCCATGCTCAAGACAGACATTGATAATTGATCATGGAACTTGTTGCTGAAGAATCTAGAATGTAGTATTAAGAGTTCATAGAATAACTCTGAGCAGCTGTTACTAATTAGCTTTGGCACTGAGATTAAAATTTTTTATAATCTCTTCCATTTAGGAGTTGGGGGAAGTGCTAGTGAAAGTTTTGTAGAAGAGTTGGACCTTGAATGATGGGTAGGATCTCTCCAAACTTAATTTCTCTTGCTGTCTGACATGAACTTTTTCGCTTGTGGCCTTAATGTTCTCCACATGTACCATTATAAATCATACCTGGTGTATTCACGCTGATCCTCCTCCCAATCTGGAGTATTGCTCTTATCCCCCTGGAGCCTATTCCACTTAATAATCCTTCAGATTTTTTTCAAAACCTCATTCATCCCTCATACAGATTCCTTTTGTCTGAATTCTGATGGGTAATCTCCATCACCGCTTTTTTGTTGTCTTATTCTCTAATTGGTATATTTGTCTGGATTCCATAATTAGATTATAATCTCCTAGGAAAAGAGCTGCATCTGACAGCCTCTTCTGTTTCCCACAGTAAATGCTAGTTGATTGTAGGGAAAATTTACATCATGTAGCAGGAACGGCTTGAATATGTGAAAGAAACAATATTCTGAATACTGGTTGTAATATAAGTAAGGTATAATTAGTTTAAAATATGGTATTTTCCACTTTTTCGGTAATGGTTTCATTTTTCACTATTTCTTTGGTCTACCCTTAATTCCCACATTTAGATTATGGTCAGATCATTTTCCTCAATTTTGGTTCCAGACCAAAATTTTAGCCTTTAATGCCGTTCATCCTGCTTTGCTCAACAACAAGATCTTGCCTAAAGGACAAGTATTATTTAATAAATGGAGGGAGAGCCTAAAATATTCAGATAACTCTTTCAATGAAAATTACGGAGTTTGGGAGCCAGGTTAGCACTTGTATTTCCCTCAGGCAATGATAGTTAATAAATCTACAAGTCTCCATTTAGATCATTTGGTTTATAGAATGACAGAAGGTGGCAAATGTTTTAGGTCGTATCGCAGGGTCCCCTCTTGTTGCCCAAGTTTCTGATAGCAACAGTGTTAAGAAGCCTTAATTTAATGCTTAACCTAATCCTCCAGGACTGAGGAAAGCAGAGACGTTTTGGTGAGGAGCGTTGTCTGAAAGATATTTTTGTAGAGGCGTTTTAGAAATGCTACTGGGAACCTAGAGTAGGGGGCTGCACCCGATTTGTGAGTTCTGTTTCAATTTCCCTTGAAAAACTCGATGTGGGCGGAGGCAAGCGTCTGGATGTGCGGAGGGGCACCGCAGCCCTGCCCATCAAGGGAACCGGCCGGGGTCTGAATGCCCCTTTCCCCGCCCACCCATCAGTTCTGGCCGCGCATGCGCTGAGCCGGCGGGCCGGAGGGTTGTCGGCTGGGAAATGGCGGCCGCTGGCTTGGTCGCCGTGACCGCGGCTGCAGAGTACTCTGGGCCAGTGGCGTCGGGAGGTAACCTCTCCGGCGTTAACTGCGGCCCAAGCTCCGGCTCAGGCGCTGGTCCTGGCCCGGGCTCATGGAGCCGCTCCCTCGATCGAGCGCTGGAGGAGGCAGCGGTAACCGGGGTGCTGAGCCTGAGCGGCCGGAAACTGAGGGAGTTTCCCCGGGGAGCGGCCAACCACGACCTGACGGACACCACCCGGGCGGGTGAGCGGGGCGGGGGCATTCCTGCCGGCGGGAGGCCCGGGGCGCGGCGGGAGGCCGCTCCAGCCGATGCGGGGGACTCGGGGTAGTTAGAGCAACTGGTCCCACAGCTCCTGGTCGGGACCCGGGTAACGGGGAGAAGCCGACTGCTCCAACCCACCCATCCCCGCGGGCCTGCGGGCAGGACCCCGAGCCTGGGCTGGGCGGCGGACGGCGGCCGCTCTCGGGGGAGAGGACCGAGGGGGGTTGGTGGGAGGTGGTTCACCCTCCCAGAAAATGAACTTCTGCCTCTGCTGAGGGAGTCCCTTGCCCCGCCCCGGTTTCCCCAGGCCCTTTCGGATTTGGGATGCCAAGTTGACTTGCTAAGATTTGGGATTGTAGCGCGCTCTTAATGGATCAGAGTACCATTGGTCGCTGCATTGTCAGGAAAGCGTCGATCTCGGCACTGGCGTTTTTTCCAGAGTTGTTTTTAATGTGAACCCAATCGCTGTAACTTTTCTTTCTCCACCTTCATCTAGTTGACTTACCAAATGTACTTGCAAAAGTAACTAGAGCTCACCTTCAGACTCCCATTGCTTTCCTCTCTCCTCATGTCCCCCCAAAAAAGTTGAAGGAAGAAAACCTAAAAAAAATACATAGATCGCTACTATATCTGTATTTAATGCTCTTTAAAAACAAACAGACATCACTTTGCTTTGTACGTATTTTTCAACACAGGAAAGATAATAAAGAATTAGGTATTATTTGGTTTTCTTAGTTGTAGAGAACAATGTCTGGTGACTGAAGTGTTCAACATAGTATGTTTTTCTTGTGTTTAAAATATAGCTTCCTCAGGGAGTAGATTAAGAACTGAGTCTATTCATGTTTTACACAAATACAAAGGAGGAAAAAATCCCTTACACAGTTTGTATAGTATGATGTAGTCAGATTTTTTTAATTTCCTACAGTATTTTTGCAATCAAGGAATGTGTAGTACTTTGTGTCTTATATGTATTCCATTTTATTTATTTTAAAATCTTCGATTTAACACCTTTCCTATGTTTGTGCACTCATTAAGGATTGATGAGCATTGTATATGATTGACTTATGTTAGAAAAATAAACAGAACTGTTAAGCTACTTCAAGAAACTATTCTTTAAAGAAACTTTTGCTCTGGTGTAAAATGGAAGAAATTCAATGCCTACTTATTTAATCTCTTTTTGGAAATAATTGTACTAAATATAGTTTGTATTTTTTAGCGAATGATATTAAAATTAAACTTTCTTGGTAAGGTAAATTTGAACAGTCGTTTACCTTTTGCATGTGTTCTGATAGGTGACATCTAAAATTGTCGTTCATACCCCAAATTTCCTGATTCTGTTCAGGAAATGGCTATACGTCATATGGTTGTTTAGGAGATGGATAGCATAGCAATTCTATATTGGTGTGAGTCATTTCAGTATTACTACATTGAGCCTGAAGCTAAAGAATAGTTGATTACAGGAGTTTATCTGGCTTCTTATCATATCTGCTTTAAATAGTTCTAGGACCAACATGTTTTGCCTTTAAGAAATATTTTATTAACTAACAAAACCCAAGGGCATTTGTGAAGAAAAATAAGTAATCCCAATGAATTTTTCCCTTACTGTGCTCTGAATTTTTAATTTGTTATTGTCCACGCTTATTTTGTTACTTTAATAGTTTCCTTATAAGCCAAATTTTTGTTGGTTGACATGTTATCTGGTCAAAAAGTATGAAAAAGAAAAAAGATTACAAGGTATTTTATACCTTACTAGACTAGATTCATTACTAACATGTTAGAGACATTACTTATTATGAGATATCTTTGGCAAACCTTGGTAAGAACAAAAATACTGAATTATTCTCTGAATTATTTTAAACATAATTTGATAGAGAGAACATCATTTATTGAGTATTCAGTGTTTGCTATTCATTGTGTTAGATGTTTTAAAATATGTTGCCTTGTTAAATGCTCACAACTACCAATGGGTTAAATATTATGATCCCTACTTTACGTATGAGGAATCACTCAGAATTTACAGATGAGGAGTCACTGTAACTAGTATTAGTGGCAGAATTTCAGCCCAAGTCCATCTACCTCTTTTCACTTCACTCTACCACACAGGCTCCTTATATACAGATAGATGTTACTATTCCTGTCTACAGATAGCGCATCCAAAGTTTGGAGAGATTAGATAATTTGCACAAAGACCTTTAGCTTAAAGGCCAGGAAAGGTGGTATTAGCAGGATTTGAGCCTAGTATGAGGCAACTCCAAAACCATAGTCTACCTGTTATACCAAGTACTTTGGTGAATTCAGGCCCAACTTATGTTAGCTAAAATGTTTTGTTCAGACCCTATAGAAAATTTAAAGCCTAGAAAATTATTTGAATACTATATATATCAAAGTTGCCACACAGTCTGTTCTTTCATAATATATAGAATGCGTCTGGTAGAACTGCTGTCTTTCAAGAGTTTACATTCTAAGAGACAGCATGTAATATCCATCCCATGTTTAATGTGACATGATTAGAATTCACTAGGAACATTTTCTTGAGGTTTTTCTCTCCTGTTTTAAAAAGGTAGCTCTTTAGGAAAAGGGAAGGATTTTCTTGGGAATGGGTGACTTGATCTAGTGGACAAGGAAAATCTTAAAAGAAATCACAGGAGACTTCTTGGGGCAGAAAGGTTGTAGCTTGGATGTGGGTAGGTAGAAGTGAGAAGGAAAGCCGCTTCAGGCTTTGGTGGACAGCATGCAAGAAGTCGGATAGGGCACGTCAGTTAATTTTGCCAATCCGCCACACATTCCCCTTTCATCTGAGGACAATACTTCAGTTTTCCTAGAGACTCACCCCTCTCAGCTACATAGTTCCCACCCTGACACAAGGGTGTTCACATGACTCAGGCCTACCAGCAATGTTGTCTGTCCTTCTGGCCACAGTGATTGTCAGAGATGGGCGTATTTTCCAATTGGCAAACATGAGTGTTAATTCTGATTTTTTTATTGAAACTATTGAGAAAGAGGCGTGCTTTGAACCCTGGGGTGCTGAGAGAATAGATTGTGAGCCTGGAGCTTGCCAGTAAATGGAAAGCAGAGCCAAAAGATGGAAAGAGTTCTGATAAGTTAGTGCTGTTTTTGGACTTTCAAATTATGCAAACTAATAAATTCCCTTTTCTGAGTAATTTGAGTAGAATTTTTTTGATATAAAATAAGAGTCCTGACGAATACAGTGAGACTCCTCTTGATAATGTTGTGGTGAGACCAGTTTGGTTAGAATACATGGTTGGATTAGAGAATGTAAGAGGTCCTTTTCACATATGAGGAAGCTAGATTGATGACAGGTTTAGAGACGGGGCTAATCAACATTCATTCATTCAACAAACATTGATTGACTAAGGAATTTTGGCAGGTGTAGATATACAAAGAGGACCAAGACACTCCTTGCCTTCAAAGAACTCAAGGGATAAATAAATAGGTGTAAAGATTATTTGAACTAACAATAGCAGAACTTTCATGTGTAAGGCATTATGGTAGGTAATATAGGGGAAGCAATAATAATAACCGGCTTCACCCTGTAAATATTAAAAAATCTAGTAATCTGGTTGGGTAGCTGTAATAATAATCCAAATCTATGAGGGAATGGACAACAGATCATATTGGAAAATGAAAATGTACAAATACAGATTGAATTTTAAAAAAGTGGGGGACAGAATGCATCAAAGATGACTGAGCTATTAAACCTGGAGGACTAGGAAGATGGTAATGCTACTGATAATAATATTAGCTAACATTTATTGAGCTGTTAGCATATTCCAGGTATTATACTAAGCTGTGTTTCAAAAACATGCACGTACATCAACCATATGAGTTTTAAGTACTCTTTTTAACCCCATTTTACATGTGAAAAAGTGGAGACTCGAGGTTAATTTGATCAAAGTTACACAGCTAATAAGTAACAGAACTGGGATTCAAATTCAGATACATCTGATATTAAAACTTGCGGTTTTGATCACTAAGCCACACTGACAAGTTTGGTGCACATTATTTCTTTCATTTCCTGATACATATAAGGGGCTGGTAGCACGTCTAGTTAATCCTGTGCAGCAAATAGAAATGTAAATCTGGAGCTTTAAGAGTGAAATTAGGGCTGCGGTATATATTTGAGAGAGTCATTGTGACGAGTTTATGAGATTCTTGCAGAAAGAGTGTGGAGAGTGGAAAAGCTGGTCACTGACAACCATGGGCATTTAAAAAGGCAAGAAGAGGAATCAGCCTGAGAAAAAAACAAAGTTCCATAACTAGGCCTGTGTTGGAATTCACAGAATCCTAAAGCTGAAGGAACCATAATAACCATGTAAGTTATTTTACGAATGAGAAGCAGTGTCAGAAAGGTTAAATGACGTCTCTAAGGCTATATAGTGAGGTAGTGCTGTTTCACAGAGGGCAAATAGCACTCATGGTTGAAGCTGTAAGAAATCTCTTCTGAAGGGAAGACAGGAAATAAGAAACTAAGGACTCAGCTTTGGGGAAAAGCCTATAGTGGAAGGCAGGAGAGGGAGACTAAGATTACACAAAAAAGAAAACAAATTGTGATGTAGAGGGTGAGCCAAGGTAATGCAGTGTTATTGAAGTCATGAGACTTGAGACTTCCAAGAAGTGGATGCTATTTCCTAGGTAAAGAAGAATGAGGATTACTAAAAGGCCATTTAGTTTTTCAAGGAAGCAATCTGTAAGCCACAAAATTATGGTTTCGTTGGTCTTGGAAATATGCACTAGAGTGCCAGGTCTTAGGTGGAAATCATATTTTTCTTGGATCCTTATTTGTGTATATTTTGTATCAACCACAATATATGTTCTGTGAGTTTTTCTAGAGCGGTGCTGTCCAGCATGGTAGCTACTAGCCATAGGTGGTTATTAAAATTAAAATAAGTTAAAATTTAAAAATTTGGTTCCTCAGTTGCACTGGCCACTTTTCCAGTGCTCAGTAGCCACGTTGTGTCAT